TTAGAAATAAAATCTATCTCATAATAGTTAAATGTAGTTAATTATAATTTTTCATATAAAGTATTAAATGCATTAGTTAATTTCTGAGTTAATTGTGAAACAACATTTTTAATTGAGTATTTGTATTCAATAAAACCAATTGCAGATTTCAAATAATCATTTATTTATTACAAGGTGGAATTTTTTACTACTTCCTCTCTTATTAAATATTTTAATTAAATTCCACTTATTAATTAAGAAAATGATTAATTCATAATCTCCACAAAAGTTTTAAGATCACTAATAAAATTTTAACATTCTGTATTTTTATCTTTAATGAATCCAACCAAGCTGTTGATTCTTTAAACATCATTAAAATGATCTTGATGGATTCTTTCCTCACATTTAGAGCAATTCAATCTGAAGTCTGTGCACTACTAGTTATAACAAATGGTTTCGATCTACTCATTATGATCATCTTATTAACATTTTTTCAGCTAATACCCTGACTATCCCATATTTATTTTAAATATTATTTCTAGATTTATTTTACTTTTTGATTCTTTTGTGACTAATAACAAATATTGAACTTCAAATACAATTTAAGCTATTTGTTATCAGACATCGCAAAGACACTGCTATAAATTTATTTTTCTGCTAATAATAATAATAGTATTAAAATTAGTGGTGATAAGAAAATTGTTTTTAAAATTAAAAACTGATTAAGAATGCTTTGCATAAATCATAAAAACTTGCAATCGATCTACATCAATTAAGCAAATGAAGTATGGTGATAATTTAAACAATCATTTTTATATATAATGAGAAGTTAATGTACTAATAATTGTAGTTTAATTAGAATTAAATTAAAATATAAAAGGAAATTGATTTAATAATTTAAAGTTCAATATAAGCTTATAGTCGAATAAATAATTTACAATATTAATTTATGTATTAAAATTGAATCCACTTCCTCCATCAGAAGATGATTTTTGTTACTATTTCTAATTTTTAACTACTTATGAAGTGTAAAGGTTCGTTAAGGATTAGAAACGACATATATAATATTTTCTAATTTCATGATGAAACTGAGCCTGAATTTGAATAAAATGAGTTCATTTTATTATAATAATAGCTCTATTTATGAAATAGCCAAAATTACTGTCCAAAAGAAAAGGCTTGATATATTCAAGTATGTCACCTTTTTTATAACATGTGTTTAAATTCTATATCTATAACAAGCTGAGTTCCTTATTTCAATATTTTGAATTCTTAGGATCAGAACAAATCTGTGATTAGAGTGAAAAAATGGGTAAAATTCAAAAGTCTTCTTACAATTAATAAATATAAGTATTTGCATCAATTCAAAAAGAAGCGTTAAATTAGAGTTGAATAACAATACTCAAATTCAAACAAATTAATTTTGCATAGTATCTTTTTTAGATCAATTTCCAAATTTTAAGTCAGTTTATATAAGTAGTTATCACAATTTGAGGAATAAAATTAAAAAAAAAGTAATTGCCTTGGGAAATAATTAAGTTGAAGGGAATGTTATCTTAAACGTATAAATAATTATTTTGTAATTTTCTATTCACTTATTGCATAAATGAGAATGTATCTTTTTTGTTTGATTAGGTATTTCCTAAAAACATAAATTCGACATTTTTATTCGCAAAATTCACACAATATTGATAAAGATTTAAGTTTAAAAATAAAAAATTTTAAATTTCTAATAATGGCATTTTTTAATCCTCGCCTTTTATTGTTAAAATGGATTAACCTAAATGAAATTTGTTAATAATTAATATATGCTAAATAACGAGGATCATAAAAATTTATTCTGATCTAAGATCTTTATTCAAATTCTTTCTTCTCTATGAGATTGTCTAATTATGACATCTATTTTAAATATGTAAAGTGTAATCTTGATAAATTCTTTGAAGTTAAGGAGGAACTTCTGAAAGTTAATTAAGTCGAAATTACTCAAAATAAATCCTCCAAAATAATTATCCAACTTAGAATGTTATGAGCTCAAAAATATATGAATAGATTAATCTATTCTATAAAAAATTTTTAAGGCATACTGAAAACGTTGAAGAACAATATCAGCTTAGAGATTCAGCAAATTTTAGCTAAATTTTGTATCAATATTTGGGATATTAATTATTGAGATTCCTGTACCCTTTACAAAATAAAATTTAAGTTCCACTTTAGAGGATGTTCAAATAATGATTAATCAATAAATGAGGTACTTTCATCTAATTTAAAGTATTCGATACAGTATAAACTAAAAGAGGAAAAATCACAAAGTAAGTCCTATTTTAGAAAAACAAATTGGATGCTAAATATATGAAAAATGATTTTTTAATTTATAAATAAGGAAAATTAGATAAGGTATTATTTTGAATAAAATGAGCTAAACACTTGATGCTGGGGGCATTATTCATAGTAAGCCCTAAAATAAGGGTAACAAGAAGGATGAAGCACAAGAATATATGAAATGAAATTTTTTGATGGTCAAAAACTAATTAGGTTGTGCAATCAGATTTCTAAATTCATCATTTTAATGTGTTCAAATCTTAAATTTGATCTTATTGTTGGTAGCTACAAACTATTTCCAGATTAAAGGCCTATTTATACAATTAAGAAATTAAGCATTAGTAGAGAACTTACTGTTGATTGAGGGGATTCTTTGGCTTTGGTAACTCATTAAATAGTAATATGAATTAAATAATTTCTAATATAGTGAGAGTAGAAAGGCTAAATCTAATTGATTTAAGAGGATTAGTTGATGTTTATGGNAATGTACTAATAATTGTAGTTTAATTAGAATTAAATTAAAATATAAAAGGAAATTGATTTAATAATTTAAAGTTCAATATAAGCTTATAGTCGAATAAATAATTTACAATATTAATTTATGTATTAAAATTGAATCCACTTCCTCCATCAGAAGATGATTTTTGTTACTATTTCTAATTTTTAACTACTTATGAAGTGTAAAGGTTCGTTAAGGATTAGAAACGACATATATAATATTTTCTAATTTCATGATGAAACTGAGCCTGAATTTGAATAAAATGAGTTCATTTTATTATAATAATAGCTCTATTTATGAAATAGCCAAAATTACTGTCCAAAAGAAAAGGCTTGATATATTCAAGTATGTCACCTTTTTTATAACATGTGTTTAAATTCTATATCTATAACAAGCTGAGTTCCTTATTTCAATATTTTGAATTCTTAGGATCAGAACAAATCTGTGATTAGAGTGAAAAAATGGGTAAAATTCAAAAGTCTTCTTACAATTAATAAATATAAGTATTTGCATCAATTC